AATAAAATATACATTTTTAATTGTTTCACACTAATATTATATGATGATGCGACTAGGGTCGCAAAACGTGATTACTGCATAGGTGCCAAGAAAATAATTGTTTTAAATAAGAATTTATTTCATGCTCTTTAATGTAACAGGTTACCACAAATATTCAATACACAATCATTTTTGGTCTTCCATTAATTACGAAGGATATTAATATGGAAGAACCACATAGCTAATATTGCAAACCAATTCTGTTCAAAAGTAGTCCAATTATACACATTATTTATGGCATTAAGAATGGAAAATGGACAACAATTATTTAAAAATGGCACGTCGCTCACCTACGCAAGCTCAGTGAGAAAAGGAGCAGCAAACACACTCTAGAGTCTAGAAATAATCCAAAATAAATTCCTAAGACTGGTTACCAATGCTCCGTAGTTCCTTCTTAATGTCCAAATCTAAAAGGACTTTTTACGCACAGAAGGCACAAATTAAACATTAGTTACATTAAAGATTACATTAACGAATAATCGAAAAAGAAATTCTAAGACTTGAAGCTTGTTTGAGGAAAAGAACGTTAACCTTGGCGTTCTGCTTATGCACTAATCACATTACGGCGCTATTCGAAAGATAGCTTGAAACTGCCATGGCGGTAAGGATTAAAAATGATGTGATTATAATAAACTGTATATATTGTTCATTACGGGTGATACATAGCCCAAGGCTGTATTATAACAAGTCTTAAAAGTAAACAGGAATTTAATATAGATTAAAACATTAGCTCAAGTAAGAGTACTTGTGCCCTGTCTTCAAGGTTGCAAATAAATCCCGAAAGGCCTGATGTGTCGAACAGGTAGAAAAAAGCTCCTAGTAATATCAAGTTAAAAATCTATTATTAATTCTAATATAACTTAAAACAAGCAGATTGTCGCGGGTATGCGCAATAACGCTTCCGTTTACAGCTACCCGAAGCAACTATGGTGGTAACGGTGAAAGTGGCAAAGTGACATGGCATGGTAGAGCGGGCAAGCCAGGATGGGGATATCCTACAGAAAAATGCATTCCTTTCCTTGACAGACAAACGTGATAAAATAACCAGGCGTGGTACTTCTGCTAGTCTATATTTATTCTTCTATCCTAATCTGTAGACAGAAGGGCGTTCAGTTACCGTGCGATAATATCTTAATGTATTGAACCAATATGAAACTTTTGTGCTAGCTTCCTTTGAAGGTCAGAAGTGTTATGTACCACAGGCTATGATTTATAACCATTAACCTTAATATACTTACAAAATAATTACTTTGGTGGACTTTTTTCGCCTGGTATTATATCACAGATTCAAGGGTGCATCAATGCTCATTAGTTTAGCTGCGCCCCACCAGAGGGTGTCGTCTGAGATTACGATAATGTTCATTAACGCACAGAACTACGTATCTATATTACAAGAAATGAGAGAATAGCTTGTTTCTTTTGACGAGTACATTCAATTTTCTAAAGCGGAATGTTTATATTTATGAACTATTATGACGGGTTCTTAACTTTATTAATACTGATTTTAATTACGTCTAGGCGGTAATGTATTAAGAGTACAAGATATATGAAATTATAGGAAAAAGTAATTTTGCTTAGATGTCTTAATATTATCAAAAAAGGTATGAATGCATTTGTGTTATGCTTTAAGTAGTTACTGGTTTAGTGGTAGTAAATTAAGAATGACTAGCGTACCCGTGCAAGAACTAGTACGTTAAATTCAACCCTCTTCCCTATCTTTTCTTTTCTATATTAAGAGGGGAGGTTGTTAACTAAAGGTATTTGTTTAAAAAAATTTAAAAGGTCACTTCAATGAACTTACAGAATTTAAAATTAAAATAAAGGACATTGAAATTGACGCTTGAAACATTGTAAATAAAGGTTTATTTAGTGTTATAGACGTGTTCTTCAATTCATAAGCCTTAAAACCTACCTATAAAGTAATTGTATAATTTTCCTTGACAGCTTTCCGCTTTCCTTGATAGCTACAAAAATATTACAAACGTTTTTTACTCTCGAGAAAGCTTCTTAAAGTTGATCATGCGAAAATACAGGATCGGGCAAGCATAACCCAACACTTCGGAATGTTATTTAACTTTATTACCGAACTGATAAGTACACCATGCAATTTAGTCGCCTATAATATCAAGTAATTAGTGTAATTTCACACACAGTTGCACATTCTGTATGTTTCTGATTCTATGTATACTGTACTTCATATCACACATTTCACAGAAACAAAAATGTCAATACTTACATTCGGTAAATGAACGGTTGCACTAAACAAATAAAAAGCAACCTTTATCGGTTTCAAGCAACTTTTAATACTTCTTGTTGCTGCGAAATCGTTTAGGTTTATTTGGATAATCTTGAATTAATGATTATGCAAATAAACCTCATCAGACGGCGCAAAACACGATGTACACAGAAAGCATATATATATGTTACAGAAATCTAAACCTTCCAAGCGTGAAGTCACAAGCAAAGATCGTCTTAAGCGCCGAGTACTATAGTTGGTATTGGATAATACCAATAAGTGCCAGACCAGCAAAAATTTAATAAATGTCCAATAATATCGTATTTTGTAGATCACGGCGTAAGAAAAGTTTCTTTGAGGCCCATGGCCTAGCATAGGGTGAAGTTTAGGAGTTAACTATAGATTCAAAAATCCTAACAACGGTAGCCGGTTGCATTTGACATAAATATTTAGATTTTTTAAACAAATCCTTCATATTTTTGAAGTCAAAGTGCAATTCGTCACGTCTCCGCGAAATTCTATTTCTTCAGACACCTTATTTATCCAGATTAGTTGCGTGTGAGAGCCGTAAAAGGTATGTATGTCACTGAAATAATGTAAGAGACTCATTACGCATTTGAGAGCTGTTCGAGCGAAAGTGAAACATTATGAATGATTATCGTGTTATGCTGAAACTATGACAGATAGCTGAATTTTTATACTTAAAGTGTTTTTTATAGCGGAGAGTGATAGCGTACCTTTGGGTAGTGAATTATTTAAATTCATGAAAATAAGTTTGGCACGAAGAAGTTTAATTAAAGGAAAAGGGAAATGGGCTATTGGGAGGAATTGAACGAGTCAACGCTATGTTTTCCAAGTTGTTGAAAATAGAACAAAGAAGGATATTTTAGATAAAAGAAAAACTTTTGACAAGCTGGAATCCCTCTTTCTCTCCGAACCCCACGATCTCCGATTTTTGACGTACTCTAGTCTAATTAAAAACACTTTAACTACATTTAAATGCCAATTGCCTGGACGTGGCGTTAAAAATAAATTTCAAACTTTTCTTTATAAATGCGTGAGAAGAAAAAAATAATTCAATATAGTAAGTTTTACAATGTGGCATTTGATTGAAGGATTGGTATAACATAAGATTCCACAAAAAGAATATACGGAAGTACATGCATTTTGTTTTTGACTTTAATTTTACTTATAAAGTGAGAAGTTTGTGAGCAATAAGAAAAATATAAATATTTTTTAATGAAAAAGTGAGTCAGGAAGACTGGGTATTTCGAGATGGGAGCAAGGCCGAAAGGTGGGGGTCACAATAGAATAGATAGAAGTCGTCTCTGCAGCAGGGCGTAGCTAATAAATTCAGGTAGTGGTAACTTCAGGTAGTTTAAAAATATAATTAAATAATATTTCGTTAAAAATGCCCTCTGTACGTTGACGAGTCACACCGCAAAAGTGACTGCACAATCTTGATTTGCCTGCCTAGGCGAATCGCGCATGTGTCAGGTACAGCCAAAATGCGCTACCAACTCTCGGCCCGTTCCTGGGCAATTTCTCAGAATGCGGTGCGAAACCAGGTAACCTCCGCAGCACGAGCTGATACAAAAGAGAAGAATCAGGGTAGGCACTGCCCACCCCAAGGAAGAACCTTTGGTTTGAGGTTGCAACCTGCTGTTCTGAACGGAAACGAACTCTGAGACGTGCTATCAACATCAAGTATCAACAGGAAGTGCGCAACCGATACTCTCGGTTTTTTCGACGCAGGATCACTGTCTCATAAATACACATCACTTTCTAATAGTTTTTCCAAAATAACTATTTAGTACCAATAATTCGAAACATCAATCTCTTAAGTAATTTATCTTGCAATGGCACCAGGTAGCACAGTTGCAATTCCTGCAACACGCAGAGACAACCAACCGTCCTCGAGAAGTACAGAACATTCACGCGTTCGCCTCTGAAGCAGTATCATGTGATATTGATAGTTTTAATTCTTCCATTCCGATATCTACGTTTATTTTAGCACAACTGTTGAAACTCACTGTAGGTTTCGAATCAGTATTTTACTGTAGCCCCCCTCACAGTTCAAACCTCTACGAACTGAAGCTTTGTGAGGTGTTCGTAACTACATACTTCTTACATTCTTCCAACAACTTTACATTTCCCAGTAAAACTACATTATGCGAGCATGTTGCTAAAGATTTAATTCAAATTTAAGAGCAAACCTCCTTGCATACGGTAAAGAGTACTGGAAGGTCAACTCGACAATCCCGTCAACGTTAATGTACATTTTTCAGCAAATTGAGATACAAACCTGTCAGAGTAGGTAGTTCCTGGGAACTCCATACCGTACAACAAATCATGCTTTGTTTAATCCATGCAGCTTTGAACAATTTCATTTTAAGCCCGTCTTCAACAAGAAACATTTAATCTTACAAATCAATGAAAATCCTTCCTTATTGAAATAGGCGCAACAATGTTATTGTGTGTATTAGTTTGATAGCATCTCCCATTATCCCCGTTTCTGAGAATGGTCTTTAAACAATTCTCTCACCAAGATTCATTAGCTGGAATTAATATCTAATACGGTTTGAGAAATTTGCACAACATGATTGGCACAGACACTCCATTTGGTATTCTGTAGTAGTTATCAAAATATTCGGGAAAATACGCATCTAAGTTAATTCCATAAAATTTCCCTTTGGGGTATTTATATTGTTATTAAAATACATACCTCGGAAACGATGGTACAGAGTAATTCCATCTTGAACGCAGGGACATCTTAGACACACAGTAAACTTGTACAATACTTTCCTTTCAACTCTTCAATGACCGGAAGCAGCGTAACTTTTCGAACGAACGCGACGCGGAAATTTCTTCGAGTAGGTACGTACTGTGCGTTGCCATACTTCTTGACGGCGCAAAAACGAAGACTCGCTCCCTTGCAAAGTACCCTGGCAATCCGTCATTCATTTACTGCATATAACAGTTACAAATTCTAAACGTCCGATAAATCTTTCATATTAAAAATTATACTGAATGTCTTATGACCCGTTCGGCAATTGTTAAGTATATTATACGATAAGGTTTTAAGAATTTGTGGAGTTCTCAATGGCAGTTACACAAAAAGAAGAGTTAACACAAGCAAAGTCGGTAAAAGGTTCTAGTAATTTACCCGTTCAATTTTATTTCAATCTTACACAGACGCAAGGACATTAATGAATAAAACGATAGAAAATTGTATCCTCCGTGAAACTGAACGAGGAAACTGTCAAGCTTGGAACAGTGAAAATTCTGTCAACCTGGCATAATACATGTTACAATTTATTTTATGACAAAATAAAGGTCTTAAAACAAATAATTCAACCCAATTTATGCCTTTTGCAACGAAGTGTGTCTACATTCGAAGCAAATTTCAATCGGGCACACAAGCGAAATGATTCTGCGATGCACGCGCAATTTTACAGGTCAGGAGTTCGCAAAATGTCTGTATTTCACACTACTACAAGAAATAAGGTTACTCACGTGTTCAAAGGGGTTGCCAAAAGTCCAAGAAGTTGGTAAGCAAATCGCACACACTGTCAAATTCACAGAATCACTCTCTTCGAAGTCTGGAAAATGAATGTAGCCGCCACGATAGTGATTGCGAATGAGCGATCAGGGCTGGCAAATGTACAATACATAGCCAGCATACGCGCGTCAAAACTGAAACCAGCAAACTATCCATGACTACTCATCGGAGTTCTGTTCAAAATTTCGGGTGAGTATAATATTTATAATTGTCTACCCTGCGCCAGCCATGGTTAATTAAGAAGTAACTTGAAAACAAACGCAAAAATATTGCGTTATCATGCCGCACGTTCTAATCATAGGACGGCCGGTATGACAATCGCAGACAACCAATACATGAAGCTGATAAACTTAGAATAATTTAATATTCTCATTCTTTAGTCACAGAGTATCTTCGAAAACGCACGGATTCGTGATTCACACCTTCCACATCGCCTGGTTCGTAATGTTTCAAAGAAAATTCATGTGGGCTGAATCTACTCCTTTTGTCGATATTTCCTAATTGCTTCTATACGGGGCGTGTACTATAAATTTTTGTATGTATGCTAACTATTTGTTTGGGTTCAAATTGCAGGGTTCGTTTATACTAATTGTGATTATTCCCAGTTGAAAATATTACTCAGCTGCCTGTATTCACATTGTAATTAATTGAAGCTGAAGTTTTATGTGTTTATAGATTATTCACAGACTTTGATGTTGCACAAGAATATGAAGTTTGTTTATTTTCATTTAAACATAATGTTCAGATCTGTTTTTAAAATATTTTCACACAATTACATACAATTTACTTTGGAAAACTTTCTGACAAAATATAAATGTAAGTATTTTAAACATGACATGAATAAAGGGAAATACATTGTAAGCCAATTTCTGCAAATATAGATCTTCAAACTACACAAAATGTTTCAAATGAACTAAGTTTGTTAAATTACAACTTGTTGTGGGGGGAAATATTCAAATTATTTACAAATAAATAACATATTACATTATTTAGATTCATTTCTTTTCAATAAAAACACCATTACTTTTGTAACTTTTTTTCATTAAATTGAAAAATTGTCAACTTTTTTATTTCATTACAGTTTAACAAATTTATGTGCACCTTTTTATTTAAAATTACATTTTCAAAACACCCCAGAAATATGACTCTCAACAAACATTTGGAGAATTACTAACTGAAAATCTTGTTTTATTATTTATAATTTTTTTATTGACAAATCTAAGCACACTCGTAAGTATTCCTGATTGACTACTATGAAAGGTCATTACCAACACTATAATGGTATGAGTAGCAACATCACAGCAGCTACAGCAAAATAATCTCTTGCCATGTTTACATGCCTCTCCAAGACAAAAACAAAAACAAAACAAAAGTTAGGGATTTTAAACCACATTTCATTTCAGGATGGTAGAAATATTTTATTGACATTATACCAACACTGCCATTTACAAATATTAATCACAATCAAGCAAACAAAATGGAATTGACACACTAAATTTCTGTTAAAAAGAAAATAAAAATCAGTTGCACAGTTTTATAATTAACCTTCATAGAATTTGGAGATTTCATCACCTAACACTGTGAAGTTCTCAACACCGCCTTCAGTGATGACTCCCAATTTTATGACACCACCACTGGATCCATCTCGAGCCATTGCTAGGGCAAGAGCTGAAAGCAAAAAACAAGTACTTACTTCAAAACATTACTCATTAAATGTTTATTTTGGAACACTGCACATAAAAATAATTATTTCTGTGTCTGGTAGAATTCTCAGCATCTATTCTAGCACAGTTCACATTTTCAACAACTTTATAATACTATTCCCAGGTTTACAAATGAGGAACATTATGCTTTCTTACACAAGTTTCATTCTTTTACAATGGCATGTATTGTTTTTTGTTTCAAAAAGTTTTCTTTTTTTGCATGGATCCGAAAGTTCTGGATAGTACTTATAAAATGAAATAGTCTAAGATCAACAATGTATTGTAATGCATGTGGCTGTAATTATCTTTTACACAGAAACAATTAGTAGCAAATGAATACAGCAGTTTATGTGACTTTGAATAAATAAATAATAACAGTTTGGTATTATAATGGTTTTACTTCTTAAAAATTGGTACCCAGAAACACCTCTAAGCTAACAAACATCCTATACATTTGACCTAATACAGAGATAGATATTCCTTCATAAAACTGAATGGAAACAGTTTTGGAAATGATTCCATGTCTTTCTTCCATTCTGTATAATTCTTTCTTTCTCTCATGCTTCTTTGCAATATTTAGACAATTTTTTTCTTTAATAATGAACTATGATTATTATAACTCTCCATATCTTGTACTTTCATTCACGCAATGCTATACGGTAACAACTTTGTATTAAAAAAAAATCTCTAAATCATATTTTTTTAAATTTAAATACCTATTTATGTGTTCCTTTTTGGATATAAAATTCATGAAACTAATTATTGAAGTTTTATACAATTACTATGAATTTTATAGCACAATTTTTATTAGAAATAATTTATTGAAAATGAATTCTTGACAATTTGTAATTTTAACTTATTCGGATACACAAATACATATCACAAATGTTTTTTGAAATTATATTGAATGTTCATTGTCCCTTGGCTATTTATCAAAATATTTAATTTAATATTTAGTTAGTATCAAAAAGCAATACAAGAGAATAAAATGTAATAGTCAGTTAATATTTAAACAAGCAATATAAGTGTTCTAGACATATTAAGGACTTTTCCATTACACTGCTTTGTGTCGACTACTCACTCTTACTGGGCAAATATCAAAATCCAATTATGAAATGTGCTCTTAATTATTCAATAAAAACTTTGATTCAACATTGAGTAAGTGTCAGATTGCCACTTGCACGGGTTGAAAATCAGCAGTAAAAATAAAATATCCTAGTAATGTCCAATGAGGTTGCAAGAATGTGTCAATAACAACATTTGAGAAAGAGATAAAACAGGTTTCTCTACAATTACAAACACTTGTTCATTTCTGTTCATGTGAGCACTATTAATGTTATTGTAATATCTATCAATTACAAGCAAAATATTAAACTACCATTAATTTTAGTCCACAGATGTTTTCTGCAACTATCATATATTTATGACATTAAGGAAGCTGGAGAAAAATTTGTATACCATGAAGGCACAGGACAAAATGGAATGAATGAATGATTGATTATTTACACATTTTTGTCCAAATGATTTATGTTAAATCCCAGAGGTGGTGGTGTTTCTGTCCTGCTAGAACATAACCTCCAACACTAACCTACACATTGGCTTGTGAGGATTTTACCTTCCAGGTATCTTCACTTGTGAAGGTACTGTTACAACATTCACCAAGTATTGCCAGGAGAAACGACAGAAAACTACTGTTTAGAGCAGCCAGATCCAAAAATTCTCCTCCATAGTTTGAATTTGACACTGCTAGGTTGCAGTGTCAGAAAGCCTCCATTTTAGGATTCAAACCCTAGGGCATCTCTGTCCAAATGAATTTTTGTACCTTTCTGAAGTAACCTTTCTAGGGCAATTGGCAATGAAATTTCACGACAAGAGGAGATTCTTACAGCATCAATCACAAAACCTTTCACTCTTACATGATGGTGAATTATTATTACAGTAAAATCTGTCTAAGCCGGAATTGTTTAGGTCCAATATTTTCTTTTGTCTTGTATGGGTTTCTGGCTTATTCAGGTATGCAAATTGAACGCTTCCTTTTTCTGAATCAACAGTTTTAAGATGGAATAGATTGTATTACTGGTTTATCTCACCTAAAAACTACATTTCAAAGAAACAAAGAAAATGACACACACAAACACAACACTAAGTCTAATGAAATAAAGAACTCAATAAAAAGTAAAAGAAATATTATTTTCTTCAATATTTGTAGGAAGGGATGAATTTATCTGATGACTTAGGTTTTGGCAATTTGCCTAGGTGCGCGTGAAAATTTTGACAACCACCTTTAAAAATATTCTTTTAAGCAGGTATTTTTAATTTTTCTTTGTTTTTTAAGTGTCAGCCACGTTTTCCAAATTCCAAATTTCTTTATTAAACCCTTGACAGAAGTGTAACTTTGTTCGTGTTCTTCAATTAGTCTCATTTTCTCACCAAGAGTTAATGTTTTCAATTTGCCATCTGACATCATAAATACTTGATTAACACAATACCAGCAACTCATTGTGAACAACACAAAATGTTTAGAATCACTGAACTCAAAACATGCATTATAAGAACTGTAAAAAGATCACTCTTCGCGACTCTCCTTCCTTCACAAGGGCTTGTGAAGGTCAGTGCTATTACAAATAAACAGTGACTTTTGCATGAGTAGAATGGGAAATGTCACTCAGATGAGGGTAGCCGAGAAAGCAAATGGACAAGCTCTGATTGTCTCTTGGCATGATGCCACAACTCTTACACATCAACGTTCAATTTTAAAACAATATTGGTTTTCCATCTTATCCAAAATGTTTAACCTCTACTCTGAAATGAAGAGATACACTATGGAATGGCTATCTACACATGAATCAATGTCAATGTCATCAAAGACTCGTTTGTCCGTAAAGTCCAAATGACTACCACCTGGAATGCAAAAGGAGTGGTGTAAGTTGATTTCCTACAAGAGCAACAAACATTTAATGCAGCTTACAATTGACGAAGATTAAAGATGCCTATCGCTCAAAAACACGCAGGAATTCAATATGCAGTGTTCTTCATGACAATACAAGGCCCCATACTGCAGTTACCCAATCATTATTGAAGGAATAACACAGGACAGTGTTGGAGCATCCCCCCTATAGCCCAGACTTGGAGCCTTCACACTACCATATTTTCGAACCACTTAAGGAGGACTTGGGTTGCGAGAAATTTTCCACTAATGAAGAGGTGGAAGACTTTGTGCGCAAATGGCTACGCACACACCAACAAAACCTTTTTGAGAACGGAATTATGAAACTACCAATAAGGTGGCAAAAATGTATAAATAATGGTGGAAGCTGTGTAGAAAAGTAGTCTGCCTTGTTTTTTGATTTTCTAACATTAATAAAATATTTTTCAAAAAGTCTCATTCATATATCATCCACTTAATGGTTTTTCATTATTTTGTGATACATTTGAAAATTACCAAATACCAATGGGTTTCAAAACAATTTATTTCTTTCCTTCCCATACTATTGGGAGGAAAAGTATTGGAATCACATCACCAAAATGATATTGAATTTTTAATTGTACAATCCATATTTACAGTTTTTTTAGATAGTAACTTCGCACACACATTTGGATTAAGATCTATTAGATCTATATATCTCTTAGTTTACACAGATGGTTACAAGTGGTGAATGTGGCAAGGAGATACCTACAACTTCGTTTCCCCTAAAATCAGGATGATGTCTGTATCTGTACGTATGTCAGACTGTTAATCAGAAAGCCAGCCAGGTCATTCATTCATTCCAGTCAGTCAGTTTCTTTTTCAATGAAATAATTATAATAAACAATACTGTTGGCAATGATGACTTAAAATTATTTCATTGTAAATGCCAATGAAAACTCACCACAATACCAATATTATTTTTCAATGTTATTTATCCCTCAATTTTAGAAGCTTAAATGATGTCATGGACATTTTTTTAAACATGTGTAGTTGTTGAGAAATAACTAAGGACACGAAAAGAGGAAAAGTTTTGGTATGCTGCGTATTACCACTAGTTTTAAAATTTAAAATTCTCCTCTACTTCACATATTAATACTTGTTTATTTCATATACACAAATAAAAGCACAGAAAAATGTCTGCTAGCTCTTATCACTGAAAATAAACAGCTTTTTGTGTCTCATGCAAAATGTCCTGGCATGGACATGTGGTATTTCTCAATTTATTTTTTCATATCTAGTTTCTTCCTACAAGTTCAAATAATCCACTATTAAAGATTTCCAATGAATATTAGAAATTTCGCCAGCGCTCTTTGCTGATTATTAAATTTGTGCAGGTCAAACAGTAAAATGAGGCTATTTTGGAAAACTTTTGATGGAAAGTTGGAAAAACTTTTCAGCAACTTAAATCATTGAAGTCTTTAATCAAAATCCATACTTTCTCAATATCAAACCCTTCAAATTTTAGATTTGCCAGTAAATTTTTGGACAAAATTATATCTTATAGTTTAAAACTGTTACATGCAAAATTCAGTGTAATGAAACTTACTATTAGTGACAAATTTTACGGCTTCATCTTTGTTCATTTTAGTTTTGTAATTGGCATCCACGTAACCATAAACATATGTACTTCCTGAACCACCAATGGCAACAGGCTGGCGAACTAACATACCCCCAATGGGAATGCAATAAACCTGTAACAAAAGTCAAACAGTTCAAATTCAATTCTACATTAGCGGTAAGTAGCCAAAGGTTATCAACAGTGGCCAATAATTTCCTTGCAACTTGATGCTACTATTCAGTTCTACTATTCTAAAATGCAAACACCTTGGAATAACATAAAACCCAAATTCAGAAAAAAAAACTAATAAAAATATACACACAGGTTCACAATGAATAATATACAATAATATATTCTGAGTATATAGATAACTTATGTAATTCTATCCTTTTGGCCAAAGTAAATCAACAATTAGAGATATCACATTTAAACTTATTTCTGGTATTTACCTATTGGATATCACAATTACACTTAAGAAGGTAAACGTGTAAGGTATTATATCATAAATAGGTTAGTTCTCAGAAATATTTTCAATTCATGTAGGAAGTTGAGCCAATGGACTTTGTATAACAATAATACAAAACTACTTGTTTCAAACTCAACAGAAACTTTTTAATATGAAGAGTTTTCCCTATAAATAAATATTTCAAAGGCGGAGATAGGAGAAAACCATCTATAGAGGTGCTTTTTTTGAATTCTAATGCTAGGTTGTTAGGATTAAGAATTACATTCTAGCCATTAAAAACGCTGCAAAATTATCATATTTTGCATTCATAATGACTTCGTGAGTGATACTGAGAAACGATTACAAGGGTGAGGAAGCCAAACATATACTTTTGTAATCCACGTGGTGTAATGATAAAGTAATGTTGTAATCAGTTTAAATCATTAAAAGTGTAATATACCAAATATACTAATTTTTGGGTAACAAGCCATTTATGTGTAATGTTTTAATTACAGAAATTTCTTGAGTGGTGGCAATCCTGTATGTTACGATGTTCATTTTTCTGTTTGCTTTTTTATGGAGGTTTTACCTATGATCTACAGTCTCTTGTCATTCAGAAAATGTTTTCAAAGGAAGTGTTTTGAAATATCATTATCACAATGAGTGAGTCCCCAAATGTTTAAAACTGAATATTGATTGAATTCGCTGACTGAAATGATGAGAAAGTGGAAGTTTATAAGAGTAGAACACGGAAAAGGGCTAAAAGATATCTGAAAGATAATAGCAAATGCCCAAGAGTTGTGAGGAATTTACTAATTTAAGTCTACCAAAGTTGCTTTCAACTTTCAAAGGTAAAATATAATGACCTACAAAAACTCTGTAAAGATTCTCTCCTTCTCGCATCTATTCTACTTCCCAGAAATTGCACACAGTCGGCAAGAAGCTCTTGTAAACAGAGTTTCATATCTTTTTCTATTTCCAATTCTTCACCATACATCATTCAATTCACAATTTAGCACATTGTTTTGTGTAAACGGGAGTGAACACAAGGTTGTTTTATGTTAAATTTGTGCACTTTGTGACTTTCTTTATCATTTATAACTGTCAATAATAAGATTTCTACAATGCCAATGCAAAAGTCTGTTAGAAAAATACTTTGAAAAATGTATGAAAAAAATTAAGACTACAGGTCTTCCCCTACATCATACTGTCTTTTATAACTTTGAATTAAATTTCTGTGAAATATATAAAAGTGAACTTTCAATATTTTCTCTCTGTACCCTTCTTATATGCGTATTTAAAACAATGCACCTTAAATCATATTTAATTCTTTCCATGACATAAGATCTTAATTTTCTATGAAGAAATGTGTCTCAAGATAATTTATTATATGCCTCGTAAAGTGAGTTTTCAATCCTGTTCAAAATTCAAAATTTGCATCCTAACTCTCATCATCAGCATATAAAACAAGTGGTTCAAGTAAATTGATAATGCCATTGGTCATAACAATAAAAAAGAAAATTTCCTAATATACTATGACCTTGTGGCACCCCAAAGAGTTCCAGGAATCAGAAATGAGCTGCTGTGTATCGATTGCTGTCTTGTTAATGAACACGAACGCAAAATTTTTGAACTGTTCAAACCATAATGTTCTAATTTCCTAATAACAAATTCAAAAATAACTCAGACAATCCCTTCAGACAGGTTACACAGAGTGAGCACTGCATAGCATTTGTGTTCACAAACATTTATGGTGTAATCCATAATGTCTTCTAATGCTAAAATGTCATTCCTTATTCAAAAACATATTGAGTCAACAACAACAATAATAAATATTAATCGTGCTAAAAAATTACTGTTTGTTTATGCTTTGTACATTCCAGAAGTTTAGATACTATATACATTAATGATATCGGTGAAAACTTTTAACATTTGAGGAAACATCATTTACATGTAGAGTTTATATTTGATATTTTCAAGTGAACTATGACTATTCCCTCCACCAAGCTCCTGTTTCCATAATGTTTAACTAGTCCTGTTCAACTAGTTTCTTCTTTGTCCACTAGCAAGTCTGCTATTTTTAGGAGCCTTTCATTTATAATTCTGGCATATACCTTGCATATTGACTTAAGCACGCTAATACCTCTGTAGTTCTCAGGGTTTTTACGATATTCTTTCTTAAATATTGATACAACTTCAGCTACTTTCTATTCTTCTGCTATCCATTTACACTGCCAACATTGGTTCATTAAATGTCGTAATCTCCAATGCAGGAGTGGATTACCATATTTTAGAAGATCAGCATTAATTTTTTCTGTTCCAGTAGCCTTTCTATTCTTTAGTTCTTTTAATGAATCTTGTAGCTATTGTATTGTGATTAGATCAATGCTGCTGTTCTTTTCTTCTTCTTTACATTAGGATTTTTCATCCTTTTGTTCATCGTACCATAATTGTTTATCATGTTTCAAGCACTCTCCTTTCTTCACATCAATTCTTATTGTATTTTTTCCTGTCTTATTCAGATGTTCCATTATCTTATATGTTGCATTTTGTCTTCCATGTAAGTCATTTTCAATTTTACTTATGAAATTATCTCAGGATTTCTGCTGAGCTTCTTGAATGTTGAATCTACTCACCCTTTATGAAATACTCACAAAAACAGTGCACATATTAATTTTGCTTTAAGGGGTGTGAAAGAGATGAATCAACGATCATGCAAAATTTAAAGGAGATAAAAAATAATGAATATTAAAGAATAAATTAAAGGTTTAACTACTGTTTTCGCCCTACAATCACTGTTTAGGTTTATCCAAAGAAATCAGAGGACAAGACCCAAATTAGTATCTCCAATGCATTTATTAGAAATAATTATAAAAATGTATTAAGAATCTTATTAAATCAATATTCATCTCTTAAATTATGCGGCGGCGATGATTAACGGTTTAGCGTACTGGCACTGTTTAACCCAAGTTGGCGGGCTTAAAACCCGATCGAAGCCGTGGATTTTAAGGGCCGAAAAATCCTTCGTACGCCTTCCTCGTGAGGGGAAGTAAAGCCGGCTGTCCCATGTTCGTAGATTTACTATGCATGTAAAAGATCCTCAAGCCTAAATGAGCCTCTGACGCTAAAATTCAAATCGCCTTTTCTCGCCCAAGAAATACCCCCTTTCTCTCCTAGTTGGTGAAAAGAGCCCGTAGCGAAATTTGCGTGCGTCAGACGGAAGAGCGGGCCTGATGGCCCGAGTCTCGCCACGTAAAATAAGGCAAATTCAATTCAATTCAAAAGAATTAGTAAAAGAGATAGTTACCAAAGATATATTCTGAGAGTGGGATCCAACATAGAAATTACATAATTTAATTTGAATGTTAATATTTTTAGATTTAGAATGATAAAATAAAAAGCAATAGATCATTCAATAAAAATTTTAGACTTTGGATACAAGAGTCTTGGATGCTGACCCTTTTATCTTAGGCACTGTCCATTGCTTCAGTGGTCATACTGCAACTTGCAACTTTCTTCTGAGCAAACCAAAGAGAGTCGCAATATGATGAACTAAATGTAGGCAACATTGCCTAATAGGAGACCTCTCTCAAATCAAATCAAATCAAGAGTCTATTGACTTGGATGTCTACATCTTCAATTTAGAATACTCTTGGCTTGAAATTGCTATTAATTTCAGGCCTGAACTAAAAACACTTAGTATATAAAAGATATCAATCACAATCTCTCAATACAATTGGATCGTACACCTCATCAACGTACACAACATCTTAGGCCTTAATTCACAGTTGACATCTAAAACAAGTTTCTTTAATCATTGATTCTTATTCATAAACAGTCCTTACTTTGAAATGAGTGGACTATGAAAAATCATTCATTCAAATGAGAGGCATTCGTTTTTTAAGTGTTCTTCATTTGAACTCCTTATTACTGGTTTAGGTTATGTGACTATTTTCTATTTTGGGAAAAGATACAACAATTTTGCAGAATATTTTGAATTATATATAAATCATTCGTACTATGAAAAGGAACATCAAGAGACACTGACAATGCTTTGGTACAATTACAAAGGATCTCTTAAGTGCACAAGTGAAGTTGGTCACTCTTTGTATGAAAAAATTGTGTGTGTAAACTACATGATGACTTAATCATGAAACAACTGATGCAAATGACACATTGCCCTGTTAGCAATTCTTTAACGAAGCACTCATTGCCAGCAATCGCTTTTTGCTTAAGGATCACTTGCTCAAGTATTATCAATGAATTCGGTCCCTAGTTCTCATTGCATTTTATATAGCCTGCATGTTCAATCTGAAGAATAAATGTTGAAATCCTTTTTGTACTAAAAATTTTTGAAGTTCAACAACTTTATTATCAACAAAAATATACTCTCAAGGGTTTTGCAAAAAATTTAGAAAATTTCTGAAAAGCAAGCAACCAAAATGTTGCTTTTCAGCACCAACGCAGTAAAAATAAACCATACGTAATAAAATGCAGTTAAAATCTCTGCATTTCCCAATTTAAAAGTTTGACAAATTCACATTTGACATTTTCACAAATTATAACTTTTATTGAATTTCTAATCATGTATTCTATCTACCAAACTTATTAAACATCTATTCTTGTGAGCCAAATTAGAAAGTATGTTTGAAGTAGTGTATGGTATAACATAAAGGAAGTCATTTAAACCAGTACTTCATACCACTCAGGCAAGGGGGAAATCCATGCTGGAAGGGACAAGGTGTAGTTAGGGGGGTTTTTAGAGCAATCATTCAGTGGGCAACGGTAATGAGCAATGTATGCAACATGACACATAATTATGATACACATGGCTTGACACTTTTTGCTAGCAAGGTCATTGTATTTGCACCAGCCTCACAGGCAAAACTGCCTCAGCCTTCGGTGTGGGCACACGGAATAAATTATAATCATTAAACTATAAACATAGTTTTAATGCTTTGAGATTTGTTCTTTTTTCCATTACATCATTTCATGTCCACATACCTTGTCGAAGCACTATTTCTAGTCTGTTCCTTAAAGCAAAAGTTGCTTAGGGTGGCAGATAAAGTGTTTAGCTAAGCTTCTGTAGAACTTTCATTTTTTGTGTTCTTCTTATTCTTTGTGACTCGTGATTTCATGGTCAACTGTGTGTTGTGATGAAGGGAATAAATGTGGCTCATTATTCATAATGATTCCAATATGGTGTCATAAAAAGGTTTTGGCGGAGATTATGTGGAATAAGTGGTTTCAAAATCATGGATTGATTGCAACACAGGATTTACATGTCCTGGGGGTAGTAAGAAGGAAGCCATTCACTGAAGTGTTTTGGGGAAAAGGAGAGGTTTGTAAGTGTTTTGGGGAAAAGGAGTTTGTGAGAAGCAAAATTAATATAAAAAGTTATTGCTTTTCCTTGGAGGCACCCACAACTTACACAAAACATAAAGAAACTGCACTCTGGCAAGTTTCATTCATTTATTTCCAACTGCTTTTCATAATTTTTGAGATGGAGCATAAGGGCACTTGACACTAGGGAACATGACTTTTACCTCCAGGAAGGTAGAGCACACAACTTAATCAACTTTATATGTAGATTACGAATATCACAATAAAAAGTTGTATCTCATCACAGTTTTTAAATATAGCGTATATTTATGTGGTATCATACCATATTTTGCAATTAATGCAAATACATTTAAATTGCACCAGTAAGGTACATGGAATCAATACGCATAAAATCTATTTAAAAATATTTTTTCCCCTGTTCATCTACATCGCTTTCATGAGAAATCAACAAAATTGGATGATTTGTGGACGATTTACACCCAAACTTCAAAGGAAAACAAAATATATGAAATTGCAAAACTTGTGAATTCTTTATACTTTGGCTGTCCAGTTTGTCAGAGATTATTGCTGGTTTCTTGTCAGAGAGAGTAAACAGGAATACAAGAGTAAGTGCCACAGCGCAAAGCATTTGTAAGCAATGCAATAGGAATTTCTCTTCTCAAGATGTTTCAATATTATTACATGAATATGAGTATTCCATTTTTAATTTGTTCTTCTCTTGTATAAAACATGCTTGTGGACTTTTGTAGTAATATAACCGGAGTGACAATATGGAAATTAATATAGGATTTTGTTTACTGCAAATATTAAATATGTTCATATCTTTTGAATCCTACATACTATCTGTTTATAATGATTTTCAAAATCAGCGTGTTCATGTCCTTTAAAATCCTGGAGGTATGAAAAAAATATTTTTGTGTTCCCTAATGTAATTATTGCCAATTCCCACCACCTTTCTTTCCATCCTCTCTCCTCCTGCCCCCTCCCCCTCCCCTCGCTTTTCCCCATCCTACTCTAGGGTTATCCTATTCCTTTAACCAACACTCAAATAATTTTAATTAAAATGTGGATCATTCCTTCGATATTGAAAAATTTTGTTCACTAGAAGAAGTCAATTCTAAACCAAATGAACAGATAAACATTGTGAAACAAGTCAATGAACATTTATGTTGATTGACTTGTTTCACAACAATTATGTAGACATTAATTTTACCCAAAACACACATATTATTATTGCAATTTATTACTAATATTAATAATTTATTAGTGATCTGTTGTTGGCTGCTGCCCCAAATCCCTGCTAACCCACAGTATAACTAATTTTATATTAATTACTACTTTAATAGTTCTCTCTAAAAATTTCATTTAAAAACTCACTAATTTACTGCTTCAATGATGGAGGTCAAAATTCAGCAATATCATTCAATAACTCTTTTCCTTGATTTTTAGAATGGTTCACTAAAACTAAATGGGGAAAATAAATGGCGATAAGTACATATTTCACTTCTTGACAATTGCTCGTTGAATAAGAGAGCTACAGAATACACAATGCAAACATAGCCCTAAACCATACAATTAACAATTTTAAAAATAAATATTTAATTACAAATTTCAAACTCACTAATTACTACTGCTTAGATGACGACAGAGGCCAAAATTTTGCAAAACCATTTATTATTGCATTAAATAAATCCTTTCCTTTGTTTCTCCTCTGCCAAATAAATTCACATAAATAATCTAGCATTGCACAATGGATTCCCCATTGCACCTTTTTATGAATGTTTTGTATGTTTTCCTAGTCTCCACATGCTTTCTATCTTTTGCATGTGATCACCTGTATCAGGATCAACAAAGTTGTAGTTATGATTTACTGTGCCATGTGGGTATCAAAAGTTCTTATATTTTACGGTAGCCTCTCCATTCTTCGGAGATAATAATTGTTTTGGGTCTTATGTATTCTTGAATGATTGGTAAAAAAGTAGATACAGATCTATTTTTAACTGCTACTAAAAATCATTTGGAAGATTCTCTGCATACTCCTCCAAAGATCCACTGTTGTGGAAGAACTCTTCCACATTATTTTTACACATTTTTATATATAAACACTTATCTATTTTAACACTTGCATTAGGACCTTCAATTTTGCAAACTTTTTTGACCAGCAATGCATAAAGTAAAATTTATCTCAATAATAATTAAGAACCAGAAAACCAATTCAACATGGATACAGTTGTATTTTCGACATTGTCTTTTTGAGCAAACTCATTTTAGTGTTTTATAATTTAATGCCATATCATGTTTATGACCTCATACTCTCAGTTCATGCAGTGTTCTTTTTTCCTTGAAGATATTAATTACTTCTTCCTTTGTTTGCATTTATCAGTGAGTCCGAGGAAATTCATAATGGCCATTCTAAATAACAAATTGCAACTATTCAATTACTTAATAGACAAATCAAAAGAACCAACTAACTTCTGGGAGATGATATTGACTAGTGAACTGGTTTCCCCATCAAAAAAGTAAACATTTCTAATGAACAAGGGAACCAAAACTTTCAGCTTGTGAACATACATATGATGGACAAGATCCCAAAAAGCTACTGAATTGAATTGATCCTTTCTTCTGAGTGGTGAGACTCAGATGCCATGAGGCCTGTTCTTCCATCACGATCCTTTCACCAGAGGAAGAAGGTATTTCTTGGGCGACAAAACAGGCAATTTGAATTCAACTCGGAGGCATCATTTAGGCTTGAAGATTTTTTACATGCAAGTAAATCTACTGACATGGGATAGCCGGCTTTACTTCTCCTCTGAAGGAAGGAGTACGAAGGATTTTTTTGCCCTTAAAAATACACGGCTTTGATTGGGTATGCACCCGCCAACTTGGGTATAACCATATGAATACTTTCATACAAATTCAATGGCACACTTAAGGTCAATGATTAATGTTAAAATTAAAATACTAAATGCAATTTTAATGAGCACTTCTATAATTAAAAGAATCATTGAATCCAACATTAGCCAAATATAAGAACATTTTAACTTTTTCTTTAGCTTGGCCACACCATTTGACAATGAAATAGAAAGTACACATTTGAATGCTTTTAGGCATACACAAAATTAACATAAACTAGTACATTCCTACTACATAATATAGTTAACAACTATACCATACCTGTCCTCCTTTTCTTTTGTCCCATCCACCAATAATAATGCCGGCAGTGAGAGTATCTCTGTAGTTATAACACAACTCACGAAAAACGTTGGCAGCAGTTTCAACCAAAGGTTCTTCCCCAAGTTCCACTCTGAGAAAAATCCAACAACATGAGCCAAACATAAGAATATTTACATTTTTCTTTAGCTTGGCCACATCACTTGAGAATGCAATAGGATGGGAGAAAGTACACATTTTAATGCTTTAAGGCATAAACAACAATATCTACAACTAGTATATTACCTGTGGAATGCCAAATGATAATTAACAATTTCAGCTATAGCTTGAGTGTCAGCAGCACTGCCAGACCGGCAGCAATATATGTAGTCGGTAACTCTAGTTAATTTGTCAGACACTCTATTTGCAATGTATGCTCCAGTTGTTGTCCGAGAGTCTGCACCAACAATTACTCCACCTTCGAACTCCACTGCCATGATTGAAGTCTAAAGCGAAAGAAATTGGTTTATTAATAATATATTTATAACAAAAGCAAAAATCTATGTAAGGAGGTATTCTTAAAACATACACCAGTACTATGCTCTGCGTTTAACCAATCTGGTTGAAAATTACTGATGCCATAGTCGGCACGAGAAAACATGCCATTCTGTGATATATCCACACTCATTTTGTTGTATTAACAGGTAGACCAAGAAAATAATATAAACACAGCCTAAACACTTGCAAGACTTGTACACTTCAGCGACCGATAGTGACAGGACACAATCGAATTACGCCGACCTGCTGCTGTGAACATGCATTTTCACTTTCGTCAAAGAATAAACAGTAGCACATTCATCGGGAAGAATATTAGAGGCGAGATAAAAAATGACAAACGATATGCGCTTTTGCTGGGAATCAAGTTCCTTCCGCTGATCTCTATTTATAACAGTTACTCTATATATAACTATCTACAGAAATTATTGGTAAGACTCGGATAATTCGAACCTCAATAATATATGAAACAAATACAAGCATGGCGTATTAAGAAAAAAAAAGTCTTCCTCTTTTACACCCTGAATACTTGACTGGCAACGTCCTTATCCAAGTCGGACGATTGCTCCAACGCAATTTACAATATCAAGTCACGGTGTAACACTTGTGGTTTTGTCACCATATTTTCGCTTAAAGCTTAAATAGTGAAGACTAAGCTTAATACAAAGGCAAAATATGTCGTTGAGAAAATTTATAAACCTTATTTTCAATGCAAAAATCTTGTAGTGGATGCCAGTGTTAGCTACTTAGCTAGGTCATAGATTAATATCACTGTACAGAATTTTTATCTTAACTTACACCTGAGCTTGTTTTGGCAATTTGGCAACCGCGTGTATTTGCCTCTTTTCAAGGTAGCCGTGGCTCGCGCGACTCGAGACAGCGGAGGAAGAGGTAAACGTCAGGTTCATGGAGAAAATTTTGTGTATTATTTACAACATGGTTAGGTCATAAACTGCAGCAACTTTCCAGTTTCTGGTTTTTTCCCATTTAAGTTTAGGACGGCAGGTACGCGGCTCACGCGCCAGAACCTTTTCGCGTTGCGCAGAGTGAGTGGGCGGGCAAACAAAACGTCTCTTACGAGATTGTCCAATATGCTTTCGAAACAAAACTGTAATACTGAAGATAAGGAGGAAAGTTACGACTGATTTATTAACAGCAATGTAACAAATTATTTAATGAAAGCCATCTCAGAAAGAAATTAAAAAAATAACTCGTGAAACGTTACCGCCAAGCTCATTTTTATTACAATAATAGTAATTTATTATTATGTAACCTGCAAATGAAATAAAATCTTCACAAAAATAATAATACAGTATAAATACGCAGTAAATTGATAATTATTGAAAATAATATATAAAAACAATAAAATATTATTTTCCTAAAACAACAATAAACTGACCTTCGAGTAAATGCTCAAAGTCACTACCAATTTTCAAGAGAGAGGCATTTACTCTTTCGGTGAAGTGGATGCAACTCGTTGGAGAGTAACAAGGATAGAATAAGTGCGTTCTCTTTCTTCCAACTAATATGAGCCGCATTCTCCCAGCGCGAAATCAGAGGGCCGGCGGTCGCTAAATTAGAAGGGATGCCGAAGGTATTTCACGCGTTGCCAAATTGTCAGGGTGGTGTTCGCAGATATAGGTTGCGAGTTAAGAGACTCGGTATTCATCATTGGCTAGGACATGGCCAACTTTAGTAGAGTTGGTCATGGCTTCTACTAGAGTCATCCGTGGCTAGGTCGCATTCTAGCGGCCGGCTGCTCTCATCGGTAGTTTTCCGTGATTTCTCCGATCAACACCAGGCGAATGCTGGAGCATTACCATAACATACGGGCCACGGACCGCACACGATCTTTCATTCCTCTTCCTTGTCATATTCCCACTCCTTACATTTACATGCTCTTCACTACCCACACATGCTGAGATCAGTCGGGAGCTTAGAACTTGTCCCGGCTGGGTCGACGCCCCCTGGTGGGAAATACCTGGTCGGTGCTGGATCTTGCCATCTAGCGTGGGAAGATCACAGCCAGCGACGAAACATGCTGCACTTACGGGACCAATGACCAATCAATCAACTCAAATGTTGCTAACTTCGCTTTGTCAGAACTTATATATATATATATATTATTCAATTATTTATAGTTAAAATACGGGGAGAGACTCCAGAACACAAACTTGTTCTTCTCTCCCATTCGTTACATACAGTTTTACGGTTCATTGACATTAAATATCGAACCAAAATTAAACTGACTGAGATGGATGTCAGTTGACCCAAAAGTAGGATTCGTATATTTCTCTTAAAATACGGGATCGACCCGTTTTTCGAGTTCGGTTCCGAAAACGTCAGGTCGCCGAAAGGTGCGAATTTTGATTCTCATGTTTTTTTAACAGAGAGCAAGAAGACAAAGAAGACTTATCATTTTCTGCTGAAGACTAGTGTCACGAACTTCACATCTCGTAGGTCCGAGATTTTCTTAATATGTTTACATCTGAATCACTTCAAACATTGCTCTGAAATAAAGCTTCTTTTCTTTTATAATTCGAAAATGTTTCAATGTAAGGAAACAGTTACTAGCCAGGGCGTGCGGTGATTACTTTGTATACCCCAGCTGCTAGCGGCCAACCTGCCATCACCTCCCTTTTTTCTGAAATTGTGCCAATGCTGGTGTTGACCTACCATTTTCAATTGCGTGATCCTTCTCGTGGAACTATCTCATTGAAAATGGTCTCGATCACTAGATGAGATTATTTCTTTCTTGCATCACCATTCTCAATACCTTTCGAGTTAATTGTAAAGGAAAATCGATTTTATTTTAAAGCTTTCTTTCGTTTTGATTTCTATCTTGCCTTCTATACTTCCAGATCGATGATTTGCAGCAATATCATCGCAATAGAAATTGCAGATACTCCAATTTACTTTCAAATTAGTCATTATTCACCATTCTATTTTCAAATGATCGAACCATGTAGAAGTCGACATTTTCGGAGTGTTTCAATTTCGTTTTTCACGTGCCCTGATCACAAAATCAAAATTTTGGGAATATGACTATCTTTGATCTATTAAAAAATCACCAAGGAGGGCAGAAGTTCACCTCCGTTGACGTTGAAATGGCGGTGCTCGAGGGACTACATCAAACATGAGTCGTACGCGAACACGTCTGCAAGCTCTGTTCAAGGCCTCCCGGAACGGTGGGCTTGGGTTGCTGGGCCCACCAGTGCTCCATACAATTATTTGTAGCTTCCCAAAAGTTAAGAGCGCGTGCGCGAACTGCCCATTTCGGGCCGGGTTGCTGCGCCTGCGACCTCCGTCCCTCTCAGCCGATCTCATTGCCAGAAACAAGAAGCTTACGCTCAATGCAGCACCGCGCGCCCTCGCGAGCCAGTGAACTAATACGCTTACTTCGCAGAATTTTAAAAACGATCGCACATCTCATCGGTGGTGATTATACAGGGTAATAATTACGTTTAACTGTCTTTTCTCCAGGGAAACCCGGGCTTACCTGCAAGCCATTACTCAATAGCGTAACGAAATGAGTGCGGGCCTCTTTAAAAAAGTGTATAACACAAGTAGTGTTATTACCTTAAATAACAAAAATATCGTCTAAAACGGTTCCGCCCGTATTGTGGGCCCGAACGTTACGCCAGTGCTGTATTCCTAACTGTATCTTAAGAATATTTTTTAAAGGTCCGTATGATTATGCGTCTTTAGCAATGTAGAATTATTGTGACAAACTTTGCCCATTTGAAACACCACTAAGATTAATTTCTGTGTCAAGAATTCCACCAAATCATTTGAAGCACATTTCAAAAATTAATGAAGAATATTTAAGGCCTCTTAGGATCATGTGTCTATAGGTTACGACACTGTTGAGCGTTGACAAGCTTTGTCCATGTGAAGCAGTTTTAAGTGCACCGAATAAGTGTTCCGATAAAACCTTTTAATCTTCTCGTAAAAAGGAACGTAGAAGCTAATATAATTGCGTTTATATGGTTAATACGTTTGGATAGAAAGAAAAAGAAGATACAAAATATCAACGTTCGAATCTTCATTCATTTATACGTAGGTACCACGCAAGTTCACACATTTTCTCGGACGTTATACTACACACATTACTATACCAGTTATGCTTTTAAGAGTGTTAAAAAAAAGAAAAACCACTACAGCAATCATCTCGTTCCTAATGACAAAGATTGTTGACACACTCGTAAGCTCATTTTTTTTAAATATGGAGAAATTGTTGAGTAATGTTCTCTAGAAGAGAGTCATCGCTTGTCGACCCTTGCCTGGCTTTTCTGACCTTCACATTTTTCTTTATTTCGAAAGGCTTGCCGCATCGCTTGTAATTTTTAAAACTTTTGCATTTGTTATATTATATGCGATTTTCATACGCAGGGAACAAATCAGAGATCTACATCTACACACAGCAGGAAGCGATCACTAACTGCCTCCTGAGCGAAAAAATTCCAAAACAAGAGCCCTTTGTGGCTAATATATTTGCGAGGGGAAAGGAAGGAATATCATTTTTCTCGACACGACATTTTGTACACCCAAAAGCCGTTCGACTTTGCAAGATAAGCAGAGATATCAACCTTCAACACTCTAGGGTTCGAGACGATTGTCAAGTTCAAGCTGCCTTGCCCCCGCCTGTCTAGCCAGAGGTGGCGGGGAAGTTAGGCCTCTGAAGAGAAGGGAAACTTCCCCTGCGCCTAGGGACGTTCGATTGCTGTTAAAGAATCGATTCTCTAAGAAATTGAATCAAACGAGAACACAGCTCAACGAAAGTATCGATCCCGCAATCGAGCAATTGCTGTCAATTGAATTTGCTGTATTTATATTTTACATGTAAATTATATATTGATATAAAGCAGTGATTTTGTTAATATTCTTTAAATCAAAAGCCAAAGTGGTTTAATTCATCTGAATTGTTGCCGGTTATGATAGTAGGCATTAGACCACGAGGGGTGCTTGTACCATTCGATACTTGGTTACTTGAACCTCATAATCCGGAGTTTCGTACATATCGTTTCGTTTATACTGGATGCCATGGCGCCGGGGAGTGAGGCTACCAGAGGGCTCTAATATAGTCGCAGTAGAAGAGTTAAAAGAGAGGAACCTATTTAAAACTACTACTGCGTTTCCACTGTCGGACTTATCTCCGATGATTCTCCCCGTCCGTTGCTATGTTACGTAGAGAACTGGTAAATATCTTCCGCCATGGCGAATATATTCTTCCGTATTATTGTATTGAAGACCCGCATGCAGCCGTTCCGGTGCGGTTTGATACGTGTTTTTCACTAACGTTGACTGTACTTACAGGTTCATTAGACTCGAAAGTGTATATACTTAACTGTATTTGCTCAAACTTAGTCAACTAGTACCTAATTTTGCTCACTTACCTAATATACAATCAACTAACCACTAATTTATAACTATGTTTTTCGGTAATATTTGGATCACTATTCTAGTTTCCCTCAATTCACTAAATAAAAAGTAGACTTAAGATTATTTTCGTAATAAAAACAGATCTTTCACACTAACACTAGTGTGCTGCAGAGGCTAGCAAGTCGCATTATATGGGAGGGGTGCATGGCTACCAGCATGTCCTTTTACGTTTGATCTGGATTTTTTTTTGGTCAGGTAGCGTTTGATCCCTCCCACTGAGACGAATGGTCTCCACGTCACCCACAAACCCAGGTTTAGTCACCGGTGATTGTTTTCATAAATTCAAGATCGGAATCAGCTCGATCGAGAAGATCCTGACAGATTTCAACCCCATTTTGTAGTGAACACACGTGGCCCGATCTTTGACGCGGTGTCTCAAAAAAAGACATTTATTAAAAATCTTTGTAATATCAAACAAATGAATCCCCCTACCAGTTAACAAGTCTTGACGTCACTGCACTACTGATCTGATACTGCATACCGTCGCAAAAAGGAACGGAAAGTAACAAAATTTTTAGGTCTTTCAATTATGTCAAACCTTAAATGGAACGTCCTTTTAAATGAATTGAACACTAAATTAAGTTTTTTATGCTATGCTTTCAGAATTCTTTCAAATTTAGTCAGCCTCCACACTGCTCGTTGTGTATATTTCGCGAATGTTCATTCCCGCCTGAGATATGGCATATTCTGGGGAAATACATCTTATAGCTCCCAGACTTAGATTACAAAAACGAATTGTACGAATAATAAGCTAATCCCAACAACGTGATTCTTGTAAGCCTCTCTTTTTTAAAATATAGGTATTTTACCATTACCTTGTCTCTTCATATGTTAAACAGTGTTTTTTATTAAAAATGACTTACGGGCGGGAATATATTTTCAGCAAACGCCGTTGTCTATAACTATATCACTCGACGTAGTAATCACATTCATCAGGTAACAGTATCAACAGCTCACTACAAAAATAATACATGTACATTATTTTACAATACCTTGCCAATGACATTAAACGATTAAATTCGATACAAAAATTTAAGTTCCAAGTAAAATATTTTCTGCTGCACAACTGTTTCTATTCAATTAGAGACTATACCGAGCACACAAAAGGAAAGTAATATTAATTTTTAAAATGACATTTAACGTATTATATATCAATTGGATTGTATAATTGTATAGAACCCGTAACAAGTATTGTACTTCAGCTTCTGGGTCGATGACCCTCATCTCGATCAGGTTTTCGTCGTTTCCCTGATCCTCGAGCAAATGCTGAGATGGCCCCTTGTTTTGCTTCTGGACTTAAATGTAACTTCAAATTAACTTCTCCCCAGAGCATGTCATACACAGTTTTTAACTGTTTTTGACGTAAATAAATAAATAGAATTAACTGTATATTCACAACTCTTCTGTTTCTTACTCTATTACTAGTCGCTTAATTTAAGTCAGTCTACGAAATGAGCCCAGGCACTGTTTTCAATCGCGCCGCGTACACGAAAACATTAATCGGTTGCACGAAAAAATGGCCCGTAATGGAGATTACCGCTTAATCACAGCGGCTGTTAAAACCACGTTTCACTGTACATACATGTGGGTCCTCTTGTGGAAAAACCAACTTACAAATTGCAAAGTGACATGTCAGGTTTTTAATGATTAAAGCAGAAAGAAATACCATATTTTCCTTCCTGGATAATGATGAACTCGATAGTGTATTTGCAAATATATGTGTTGATATTCCACCTCAAACATTATTCAAAACAGGATTAGTTACATTGTATTCTTTATTTCTAGGATCAGATAATATAGATACACACCAAGATATATATTACAAGTCAAACTTCTTAAGCAGGAATATGTAATGGTTATTGCAAGTTCACATTTCATGCGCATAAAACATGTTTACAGAAAAATACCAATTTCCAAACTATGGCTTCAATTGTGAATCAATCTTCAGTCTTCCTTCCGTCTCACTAGACATTAACAGAATGCAATTGCAAGATCTATTCAAACACGAATTTATATAGAAAGTGAAGTTTATTTTACTTCATACTTAAGTAAAATAAGAAACTGAATCAACACTTCTAGCCACTACTATTCTCCAGCAAAATGGATGATTAAATACAATAGAAATGAACCACAATAAATTCAGTAATCAAAGAAGTTAAGAATATTATTAACATAAACCTCATTTCAAAGTAATTCTTAACCCTGTTTCCTGGGTTTACGTCACAGCTTCTATATGAATCTAGTAATATTTATAATAAAAGTAAGTACAAAAGAAAATTTACATAGGTATTTTGCTAATGATGGCACTTACTTTCTGCTCTAGCTTTCAAAAGCACAAAATGATAACAAATTAATTTACACTTCCTTTATTGTTTCTATTGCACCTTAGAGCAGAAATGATTTAAGGCACAACTTCACCTCAGAAAAATTTTGTAGAAAACTGCATTAAAATGTATTACAGCAGACATTAAAGATTTAAATGTAGTGAACATTCATTGTTACGAGCTGCAAAGAGAAGGGGGCTTCATTATAACTTTCATATTTGGTATTGAAGCTCCCGATTGGATGACAATGTCCCCCTCTCCTTTCAGCCTGTAACCGTGTAAACACACTACATTTAAATCCGAGTACAAGTTTAAAAGGAGTAGACAAACTTTGCTTGATTATTAAGAAATAAGAATGCTGAAAACCATATTTCTGAAGGGAGAAACAAGAAAAGGTGCAATGAGCAACTGACTTCATTACTAAAATTTACAGAGAATAAAGTTTACAATTTTAGATGATGTCTTAACCCAGAACTCCCAATAGCATGTACATAAATATTTGTATTATCAGAATGTCAGCAACATCCAACTCAAAAATATTGCTCTCGTTACAGACTTTTCAATGTAAGAAACACTATCAATAAAATGCTTACAAAAGATAATTTTTCATAAACAGAATACAATTTGGAAGAAAGACCATTCTACAATGAGAAAAACTAATTTTTCTTAATATAGCATCCTCCTTTCAGAAGTTTGAAAATAATTTTTACTATACCAACTATTTTTAAGGTTCTTTAGACTTTTTGACAATTGAACACAATGTTAATGTTGAATGTTTTTTGGAAGGGAACAAAAAAATAAACAAAATAAAATTAAAAAAAGTTCTACAATAAAAATAAATGAATGGTTGATTACTATTAATAAAGAGCAAATAAATAAAAACAACAACAAACTAATATTCGAAGTTCAAGTTCCCACAAAGTGGCACAACTATATAGCAAGGTCGAACAAATAGTTTTCCCAGGGCCGTGAACTTCATTACAAACAATTTAAGGAAGTTGTGTATTAATTGAATTTATTCTGATACTAATATTATTGTAATTTTGAAAGCGAGATAGATTGCAAAATTTAACTTAACTGAACTGAAAAGGGCAACTAACTGGAAACATTTCTTGATCAGCAAATTATCTTAATTTGTATGCACATCAAATAGTTTTTGAAGATTATCTTTTTAATAGAATGCTTATTTTCCACACCAAATACGTCAATAAAATTGCAACCACTTGAGTGACAAGTTTTTGCATTCACTTTATTTTAGAAAGGAAAAGAGCCACTCAAGATACACTATAAATATTTTTGATGAAATTCGTTCTTGAAAGAACTTTATAAGGAAGACTAACTTTGGATTACTAATATTTTTAAAGATACTTATTGCCTTTTAAAAAATATTTATTTTTTTTCCTAAGCACATCGTATTAAATAATGCAATCGTATACAAAATACATTTCAATTAGAATACACTTCCAATGAACAATTTAAAATATAAAAATTGTATTGTTAGATCAGGTAAGTTCACATTAAAAAAAAAAAAAAGTCCTGTAGAAATCTGATGCAGAGCCCCAACTTATTGCAAAACCACTGCTCCCAAACTGTGCATGATTTTACACACAAGTCTATATTACCAAGATTTGAAATTAAAGTGCCATTTGTAAAGTTCATAAAGGCATTTCCTATTTCACAAACCCCAAAGAAATTTTTAATTGAAACTCAAATTTTTGCAGCATACTGAATGACAATTTTTCCAGATGTCTGGGGCAGCCCTAATTGTTACTTCAAAGGCCCAAAAACAAACTATGCTTTATTCAAGAGTACTGAGTGAACATCAAGAAATATCAACACCGTATGATGATTTATTCAGACAAAACAGTCACTTCTTAGAAGTGTAAAACGAACTCAACAAGGTTCAAATACTTCTTTTCATGAATTATACTATATTTCAGAGACTATTGAAAGACAATTTGGAAATACATAATCTTACATTCAATGCAAATTGAACACTGAAATTATCTCTACACTCTTCAATTAGCATTAGATCACAGGGCTAGAAAATAAATACTGTGCTACTTATCTAGCGATTGGTATAAGACACATTATAAATAAAACAACATTTCAAAGAGGATGATGCAATAATGCAGTTCTCTTATTGATTAGCAAGGGGAAAGGCCTTCATACTTTGTATGTGTAATTTACTTTCTTACACAACACTGAAGCACAATGCAGGAACTATATGAAATTGTGCTAAATAGCATAAACAAACATCACACTATCAATATGATAGTACTGTACGCTCAGAAAAAGGAATTTCACACTGCTAAGTATTGCTTAATTCAAGACACTGCATTTGTTTAAAGATACTGACATGCTTGTGTTGATTTGTGTTGACCATCATTGCTTCTGGCACACAACTACTTTGTACAAGTATCTCACACACTACTGCTGTTTTAAGAATAGCAAATTCTTTTAATGAAAGTACATTATCGAGTCCATTAATTCTGTGTGTCAATAAATGCACACTTGGAGGACTAATATATTTTATATCACATGGATTCTGAAAGGTTCCAATACAAATGAGCATACATGCTTACCTTCTGTTGAAGTTCTATGTTCAATGTTTTCTCACTTGGCAGGAACATGTAGTAAGGATGCTGAGAAACCTGTCTAGGAATTTATGCACACTAACACAACCAAACACACACACATACACAAATAATCACTATTATTTTACAAGTGCACTTTCTATTGTTAAATTAAAAATGACCACACAAGGATTTGGATACATATACATGTAATAGAGCACATACTACATAACACAGAAATCTGCTACATTATACAAGATCGGAAAATAAAGTTTAATGAACCCCACATATCACACAACATAAAACACTTGTACAAAATGAGGATGTATCTCGTGTAAAGAAGCGCTTCAAGCTGCTTTTTTAAAATCTCTAACCAATTAGAGATACAATTACATACATATACTGTTGATTGGTAATTGGAAGGAAGAGGAATGAATAACAGTCAACACTGGAACTAGAGAAAAGAACAGACAGCAAATCTATTAATGTCCAATGTCATCTGACAAGTCATTGTACTTCTTGTCATTTAAAACTCAAAACAATATGTATGTAGCTGCTCACTATGTACCCTGACTTGTTACGTGCAATCATGGTCTATTATTTTTGTTGTAAGAATTTGTTGTTGTCGTCAGGGTCTTCGTTTCAATGCAGTATGTTTCCGTCTCGTCACGTCACAAAAGGGAAATCTCTGTAGAAAAAAAAAATACAGAAAATATTGAACACAACAATCATATTTAATGATATTTAAAAAAATATAAATATTTCAGAATCTAATACCAAAAGTATTATACACAGGACACATTAAATAAGAGTAGTATCAATTCTTCTATTCTTCTCCCATACAAGCTGCAAAGAAGTCACCTAAAAGTATGCATGCTTCGAAATTAAGGATAAAGAGTTAGTAAAAACAAACTTAAAAAGATAACAGAAATAAATATACCAAAACCAAGTTGTTTTAAAAAACTACCAATTTTTAAAAATTTATCGTTGTAGGAAAAGTTTGAACAAGTCATCTTTTACAATAAGTTAATTTTTTTGTTCCTGCAAATTCTGACTGACATTTGAAATGTGTTATAGATAAATTAAGAACTAACATGAATACAATTTAATATTTGCACTGCATCTATACAGTGTCCAAGTTTAAATTTCTGTGTCTCAGAAATAACTAGCCAAGACTGAGAAATAAATATAAAATATTCTGTAGTCAGTCCTGAATCTAGAACATGCTGCTTAGAATGCTATATTTCGAAGGCATATGCCGTTCTATTCGAAGACACATGCCTTGAAGAAAATAAGGTAATGTAATAAAAACAATGAAAAAATTTCAATACCATCAACACTTTATACCGTATTTACCCTCACTTTTCCTAAAAATCTCATTCGAAAAATATGGAGTCTATTTATATTTGCGGATTAAGCTCACATGGTTAATGTATACATTTTTAAATTGCCTTTTCATTTAAAGCAAAATTCAAATGCTGACGAAACACTACGCTGTAAAGGCAATAAAAATATATACGATGTATATTTGCGGACGTATTGTTGAGACCTACCGCTCGCCAAATCCAATTTGCCGGACGTTAGTCTCATTGTGGGAGAGGTAAATCTCGAACGAATGGCTTTGTAATTTGTGAAATGCAACGTGAAAACGAATAAAAATTGTTGAGATTTCGCTACAAGATGAACTGATTGACAAGGCAGCGCAAACTCTCGATTCGGTACCTGGCAAGTGCGAATCTGCGTTTCGCAAAGGATCGAAACGAAAGAAAAACAACACGCACTCGTGTTACCAAACAACGTCGATGTTCAAAATTAAAATATTGATTTTTTTAAAGGTGGTTTAGTAACTTCTTAACATTAAATTCGTACGCAACTAATTTCAATTGGGCTAGTAATATTTATTTTACATTTAAAAATTCGCGCGCAACTAACTTCAATTGGGCTGCAGCAGTATTTATTTTATTATTAAGATGTACAACAGCGTTCATTTGGTTCGAACACACAAACAAAAAGCGGGCAATCTGTTATTGTTTCATATTTTAACATTTGCAAGATTGTGAAGGTATTTTTTTATTTAACGTATAAAAACATCGATATCGCATCCCGATTAACTCGATCATGCGAACATAAAACTATGCAAATTTCAAAGAATTCTTAGAGAATCAAGAAGTCACAGAAAGAAAACCTGGTAACACAAACTTATGTTCATAGGTAGCGTCAGAAAGCAAATTCAACGCCCAAAACGTTCTGAGGGACCTGAAAAGTCGGGGAGGATGAGGCAGAATAGGAGAGGATCAAAAAGTAGAACATGGTATAAGTAATGTTGACAAAAGCCATTAACATATTTTTCAGGAGCAAGAAACTAGAGCAGCTCAGCCGATACTAAGATTTAACAGCGTAAACGGCGAGACAATTTTCTAGCCAATTAGACTATTTACAATTTTATTACTGAATAGAAAGAATTACTTAAAAAATTAAAAAAGGCTTCATCAAAATTAGTGGTTTGTCTTACACATAAACTTGTATTAAGTAACCACTTAGAGAGTGGTCGCTTAATAGATTTGTAATTAAAAAGGTCAATTATTACTGGACATCAGGTATTTGTGAAATTGACTACTACAATGGATGGTTATGGAACGTTTTTAGTACCCGAGCATGAATAATGAAAAACAAAACATTTCTATATTTCTAACTTCTTCTCTTGTGTAAAAATTAAGATAAAATCATTTTCAATTTTAGTACTCCCAATAATGAACTTCTGTTTCTGTGTGAAGACTCAATTTGTCATTTGGGTACGCACACCACATGCTGACTTAGGAACTCAAAAACCCTACTTTCTCACATTTATTTGCACAATTATTAACTTTGGATAGCGCTGGACTCAAGCCGGTCGCAAGCCAAACACTAGTATGTTACGGGGCTAGTTGATAACCTTGACCTTCAACATTATATTCTACTGTTTCAGATCATCTTCCAGTAAAGTCAGATAAGAAAAGGAAAGGAAAAGCTTAGTTAACTTAAAGAATGAAACATTAGGTCACTTGCATATCTGCAGCCTCATTAGAAGAAATAAAACTGAAATGTAACGAGCATCCGATATCAGCAGCAATGGATTCTTGTTTCTTGATTCTCGGTCTCCTCCCTCCCAGCGATTTCTTCGAGAATAAGTTGAAGTGCAGAGAATATTGTGCAAATGCTTTTGACAATATCGACGATTTTTACTGCTGAAAATTCAGTGCACTATATACTTACAATTTTCCTGAAAAAGGCTTCTTAGAAAGGGTAAATTAAGAAAATTTCTATTAAGAGGCTGATCTGTGGTCAGGGAGAGAGATGGTCAGTTAACAGAGGAATAATTTGCATATAATATGGGGGTTCAGTGTCCTTTCCACGAAAAATCAATAGTTGAGAGGGGTGGTCTTTCAGAGAAGTTTCACTGAATTCGAGTAAATGCGGTATACACATACATACATATGTGTGTGTGTGTGTATGTATGTATAAAACTGAAATGTAACAAGCATCCGATATCAGTGACTTCGGATTCTTGTTTCTTGATTCCCGGACTCCTTTAGCACTATTATTATTAATTTTGTTTGAGTTAAATTTGCATTTAATATTAGTACTCTCTCAACATTTGTAGAAATAAAATTGAATACAACTTTAGTTATATTTCCATTTCCTTCTTGTGCCTAACCTAGATCATTCCAGTTTGTGGATTGCTACCTTCACAAAAACACAATCTGTTTAGATCTTGAACAAAATTTGTACACAAGCACATATTTACTCGATTGTCTCAAAATGCTCCCCAAACACACCTAGGAATAAAACACATTTACATTAACTCTCATTACTGAAATGGACTTTAAACCATATAGGAAAGTAATTGAAAATAATTGTCAGTTGGCTTATTATATTATTTTTTTTTTTATTCAAAGCAGCTTTGTTATACGCGCCGAGAGGAAGAAGAGACATGGGAAGGCCACGAAAACGATGGAGAGAAACTGTAAGGACGGAACAGGCAGTAGCCTAATCCATGAAGTGAAGAAGAAGAAGAATTGAAAATAATTCTACTGGTAACATGAAGCCGACATCCTGTTTTTAAAAAGCCTTTAAAAAAGAAATTTAAAAAAAACAACAGCCCCCAATTAATTTCCTTAAATTCTTAACTAATGCATTCAGCATTAGTTATGTTATTATCATTATTATATACATATACACGAAAATATGGAACAATGAAGAATAGTGAAAAGCTGAATGGTTGAAAATATTTTAATTAAAGACAGATGGATGTAAGATGTCTAAATATTGTTTGTTATATACAAGGATTCTCAACCTTTTTGGGTCTGTACTAGTCCTTTACATTCACGAAAAAGTTACAGCCGCTCATCCAATGCCTAACTGCCTACAAAATGTCGAGACAGTGCTCTGGTGACTGGGATTCTCTCTCTCTCTTGGAGGCAATGGGAGTCCACTGATCACGAACTTCCCAAGCTCTCATATGGACAGAGTATTCTTGAGAGCACTATAAGCCAGCCAAACATCGGAAGACTCTCAGGGTTAAAATTGGTTAGTGCACGTTACAGATTTTCCATGCACATGTCCCATTGAAATTAAACATTTCTGAATAGGTTGATAGAAGGTGTGGACGACCATAAAAGTTGAGGTAGCAACAGTTGGAAGCATTTAAGGTAAAATTAATACAATTTTTGAGTCTTTGGATGAGAACATGTATGTTATTATTGCAATTATTAGAGTCTAAATTTGTATGTAGTTATCATACTGTACTGTATCACACATTAATCATACTGTACTGAATCTCATGGATTCAAAGAAAGGGCTATGAAAAGACGTATTGTAGATTGCAAGTGCAAATGCAAGAACAGACATAATACATGGACGACGTACCTAATTAAAAGCCATGTCATTAATTTAATTTTGTGTTTATAATCTGAATTATGGAAGTGAAAACATTTATTGTAATAAATTATTAGAGAAAATAAATTATAATTTTTTGCAATTTCATGACAATTTAAAATTTTAATTTTGGTATTTTCTTTGCATTTACAAACTTATCAAGAACAGTACACATATTATTTTTCAATCATTTTTTTTCATGCTCAATAGATAAAATACTGAAATTATTCAGACAGTTTTTTGTAATTGTACTTTGTAAATAATTTTTTAATCAATTTCAATTTTAAATATGATCTTTCCACTCTGACAAGCATGACAGGAAGTGTCAAAAATCATGTCACTACGGCACCCTTGTTAATAGCAATGTTCAGTTATTAATACATTTGCAATATCTTTAACAGATCTTAGTTTTGAAATTTCACTCTTTAAAGAATGTGCAACGACAATTGCTGACATTGCACTTTTTCATTGTCTGAAAGAGCTATCAAAACTTGTGGCTGAATCCCTTTCAAAATCGCCACTGTATTTTTCAAACCAACAAATCATCGCACTATCTGGTTACTAGCGATAGATAGGTTTCCATAGTAAATATTTCGTTTGTATTTTTGGTGGCCATCAGCGAGTCCTGGTTCCTAGCAAAGTTTGCCAAAATGTCTTTTAGTTTTCTTCACTTGTTAGTTGGTTGGTTGTTAGTGATCCCGGGTAGCCAACTATTGAGGTCATTAGTCTGTATGTGTAGTGCATGTTTTCCCTTGAGAGGAGGCTGTAATCTTT